TTTTTTTTATTGAATACAAAATAAACTGTATCAGACCTATGAACTACATTTACTTTTGGAAGACTAAAGAAGATAATATTACATTATAACTTTTTAAAAAAAAATTTCTTTTTTACATAAATCATATTTAGGTATGTGGCTAAATTGTGTATAATTATGGTCGTATTGAGAACATATTGCGAATATATATTAATTATTGAGAATATATATTATATCACTAAACAAGTTTTTCTTAAATCATGTAACAGCTTTTGTCGTGAAAAAAACTCAATCGATCATTTTAATTTTTTACTACATAACTTAAAACCGTATTCTATTCTGAAATTAATATTTCCCACCACAGAAAGTTTTGAAGGTCTTAAAGATATCGATTGGTTTTTTTTCTGTATTTCTACAAAATATCCACATTAATATGCTCGCAATAAAAATCTATGAACTTAAACCCTTTACATTGCAAAGTGGAAAATCAATTTTAAGAAAAATTGAAAAAGTAAACCAAATTATTTCAAAGATATCACTGTGTTAACTCAGCTGTTAAGAACAATTTAAGGAAGATATTTTATCCCTTTAGGTGTTTAAAATACAATTTGTCCCATAATGATTGCTTATTTTCTAAATAAATTTTTTTCTATTAATTATATTGAGAGGGAAAGTTGTGAAAAAATAATATATTAACTAACTCCAGATGTTTAACGTTCACTAAACTAGACTCTATTCATGAAGTACAACATTTAAAAGAGATTGGTAATGCGTTTCTGGTTTAAAAAAATAATTCAGGAAAAAATTCTGGAAAAATTATCTTACTGAATGACAATGACATTTATTATTAAAAGAAAACTGTTATTCTGGGTAATAAAACCTAAATATAAGAAATTCAGACGAGTCATTTGGTAATTTTTCTACTCATATAGTAACAGTTTACCGGAAATTTTGTAATTCAAAATTGTAGTTCTTTTTTACCACCTATTTAGCAAAAAATACAAACTGAAAACTCAATTTAACCGAACAAATAGCTTTTTTGACATTCTTTAAGGTATCATGATAAAATTACCAAATTTTTCCACATTTACCAAATTGTATCACACATTATAAAACCATATTTTATTGTTAATCTGACCATAATCTTTATAAAAGGTCTAAAAAATTAGCGAGCTTTTTAGTGTTTTCAAAGAGTCAGAAACACGCTAAGTTTTACCATATTCTGGTATTTATGACCATAAGTTTTTCCGAAATGTAGAAAACTATATTTGTAAAAGTGGCACTCCACCTTTTATTATATTAGGCAATGTCTATGTGTATAATGTCTATATGTCCGACTGTTTAAGGTCTACCATAAAAATAATTTCATTTTTGACTTTAAAAGAGAGCGTTTTTTTGTGCTATTGCTATTAGTTTTGTAAGAAGATTAATTTTTTTTCAATTTGAATCAAATTCAAACTAAATCAAACTCCAAAACACTATAAAAATTATTAATTGTTAAGCATTTATATTTACTAGTAAAATATTTTTATGACACATAAACCACTTATATATAAATTGAATATATTTATAACCGAATAAGAAATATTAGTTAGTTTCAGAATTGATAAAAAAAATCAAAAATCATGGGGAAAAAATAAGTCTCACTTTCCATTCGACAAGCCCCTTTATATTTATTTTAACTTATGATTTCATTACTAATCTGATAGTCTTAATTTCATTTTTCTATTTTTCTTTTTATTACTCGACGAATAAGTTATGGTTTTTATGGTTTCAGACTTTATTAACGAAAAGATTTCTACTTCGTCAATTATATCATAAACTCAAGTATTTAAACTCGTTAAGTTTTTGTATTTCAAAATATTTAAAAAACTTATTCGGCACTAATTTAAAAGTTTCTGATGCTGTTTACTACATTAAGAGGAATAAAGTTTAACAATAATTCCAAAAAATTCATTTTGTTTAGTCTTCAACATTTTTACGAAAAAATTAGATATTTTATTGCTTTATGCAGCAGACTTTGAAGTGTGCTTTAAAGTAGTTGAAATAATGTCCATTGCTTATGCAAATACGGGTATATTTTAAAGGTTTTATCTACTGAGAGGAGTCGATAGGGCACATACCAATAATGCTAAAACTGACCTTTTTTTATGTATCTTTTTTCAAGAAAACAAGATATTGTTCAGTTTTTTTTCTACAGAATATTTATATATGCATGCTTATACTGTGATAACTGTTAATACATATCTTAGGCAATTTATTTTTAAAAATTATGAACCAGAAACTTTTAATATTTTAAAAAGTTTAATCATTTTTGGAGTAAAAATCTTTCATGACTGAAAAAGTATTCCTGTTAACGCTAAAATATTATCACAGCATACAATTGATGCAATCTCAAATATCCCTAAAAAATTTCAAAGCGATATCATAAGTAATTTCTTAGAAAAGGTACCTCGAAAAAGATCAGTTTTAGCGTTAATGATGTATGCTCTACCGTACCCTCTTAATCAAGTCTAATATAATGCTCATTTATAAAACTAATGAAAATAAAATGACTATTCCAGTAATTTTAAATCATTTTAAATTCTTTAAACACTTATTAAGGGCCTCTAAAATCATTCTAATAACAATTTAGAAAAAAGGCTATGAACTATTTTATTAATATCTTGTCTGTTCGTCAATAATTTTTTAATCTTATGTCACAGGTATTTCTCTTCACAAACATGACATTAAAACAAATATTCACAAAATAAATAACTTTTTAATAACCTTTATGGTTAGAATACTATAATATAGAATATATAATAATAATGCTTAGAATACTACAAATGCGAAGAATAATTTACCTTCTAGAACAAAAATATTATTCAGCATAATACTGCGCTCATACATTATATACTAGTAAATTATTTCACCATCAAATGCATATTATGCCATCTTATAATTATTTAGCCTTAATGCTATTTTATAGTAAAATCTTTAAGTTAAAATACTATTATTTTTCTGAAATGTTTATTTATTAAAATTCGAAGTTTTAAAAAGATTTAGAAGTAAAATATGTGTGTAAGTATTTACAATCATTAAAAGTTTTTTATTCAAATGATTTCCTGGAATTCATAAACATTTGGTATAGTCAGAAATAGAGAACTTAGCGAAAACATCAATAAATGTTTTCCCATTTACACTGAGTAAAAAAGTGTCACCTGGCACTATCGGAACACCGAAAGGATAAATATTTTTACCGAAGCGCGTTGATAATGATTTTGATAAAATTAACAATAAAATATGGTTTTATAAGTTGTGATAAATTTCGGTAAATGTGGTAAAATTTTATCTTGATACCTTAGAGCATGGAGTGAAACCATTTACTCAGTTGAATTTACTTTTCAGTTTTCTATTTTTTACGAAATGTGGGGTTATAAGAACTATAATTTTGAAAACCAGAATTTCCGGTATACCGTTACCATATGAGCGGAAAAATTACCTAATGAACGGTTAAAATATCGTATAATTTGATTTTATTAACTAGACATGTTCTATTTTCCCAGAAATATCTTTACCATACACTTCGGTAATTATATCAGATTTTTTTTTCCGTAGGAAATGATTTTAAGAGTATTCTCGAGGACTTTTTAATATTTTTTTTAATAATTTAATTTTAATTCAATTGTATTTCAAATAATATATTTTAGATTGAATTTACAAGTAGGATTCAATAACTTAATACAGTTTTTTTACAGTTGACGCTTTAAAAAAACCATAACTAAATGAAAACTTTCATATATTTGTAAATTAAATATGTATGAAATAAAATTCTACTTGCGAATCCTATTTCAAATAATTTTTTTACTGAATGCGCGGTAATAAGAACTATGATTTTCAAAATCAGAATATCCGGTAAACCGTTTTCATACCAGCGGAACAATTACTAAATTAAAGGTTTAAATAACTTATTTTTGTGGTTCTATAAGCCAGAATTATGATTCTTTTAACCAGAAATGTCATTATCATACAGAACGGAAATTTTGACAGAATCTTTTTGTCTATGTACAGATGGAAAATAAATGTTTAATTATATATAAGATTGTAAAGAAAATATATTAATTAATGTAATTTTTATTCAAATTCTATTCGCGAATGATTTTCATTATTATCGGATACGTTAAAAGCTAGTTAACATAGTACACTAACAATTTAAGATTTGAGCAAATTTTTAAAAAACATTTACTTGTAAATTATCTGACTATAATAAATGTGTTTACAAATATATAAAGAAGGATTCCGCCGTATGCTTGATAATTATAGAAAGTATTTTTAAAGTTTCAAAATTAATCTTCCTTTGTTTTTCTGCTCTCATCATAATTTCTCTTTTCCAACTGTTTTATCTTGTGTTGCTGATGTTTTTGCACCGTACTCCAAATATAACAAATACCGAAATTAGGCCAAACTTAATATCCGTTTCAATTTTAGATATTTTCTTGGTTGTAACTGATAACACTAATAGTATAGTTTCTTATAAGTCCTATATTTCCGAGCGCTTCTTTCCTCCTACTTCCATTATTTGTTTTTAAAACTAATTTTTAGCTGGTTATTGCTGGTTACAAATATGCTAAAAAATTTGTATTTATTATGTATTTAGCTGGTTACAGATATGTTTACTTTAACCTCATTTTTAATTTACGAATTCTTTTATCCTTTTTCCATATCAGTAATAACGGAAAATTGATTTCTCTTCTTAAAACGTTATATAAATGATTTCAAAAAATTTAAAATGTAATGTGTGTATAGTTTAAAGTGTAAATATATATTGTTTCGAATAGTTTGAAAAAAATCATTTCTACTTATGATGAAGATGCTTATTTTCTCTCTTTTTCATTTAAAGCCGAAATATATTGAAAAAAAAATTTTTTTTCCTCGGGGGGAAAGATTTCTAATGAAAATAGCTTTTGTAAATAAATGTGTGTTGATTATAAGATTTTTGTTCTTATATAGAAGAATGGTGGTGATGAAGGTGTACTTACATAGGGCGTTATACCGACGTATGATATTCTCCAAGAAAGTGTTTTGTGGAGCAACGAGTCCTCTCCTACCCCCGGGCATCTTGACATCGCTTCCCTTATTCTTGCCTCGTTATGTTTTTGCTATGCATCACTATGCCTTAGATATCTTCTGTCATCCCACACGTGTCGAATCCTGCGATCCGACGCTACAGCCATGCTGACTGCGAGAACGGCCTCTTTCTAATCCAATTACAATACCGACTGTGCTTCTCCGCCGAGCCGCTAAGGTTTGCCGCAAAGATCACATTCAGAGCGCCAAAGCAGCTCGCCAATGGTTCCCTATCAATAAACGAGATGGACTATGGCTCGAAAGTTGGGCTCTTTTTGAAAACGTCAATTTTTTTAGCCTTAATGTGACCCACTCGTTATAGCTTAGTTTGAACGTGACCAACAAAAAGGACTTCATGTTTTATAATGAATGAAAAAGAAAAGAGTTCAGAAGTTCATTAACCATTGTAGAATACTGTCGGGTAGACGGGCTGTGAAGAGTACTTATTTTATTTCAGTTTTAGTTTAAGGGATATTTAAGTCATTTACTCTTCCAGGTCATAGCAATACAAAACTACACTGAGAAAAAATACTGTCAAAACTATAATTAAATTTACCATGTTTCAGGTTTTATGGGAACACGAAAAAGCTCGGTATTTTTTTCCGAAAAGAGCTTTGTTATGATTTTGGTTTAATTAACCATAAAATATAATATAATAATATGGGATAAAATTTAATAAATGCGTTAAAATTTGGTTATTTTATCTCGATGTCGTAAAGCCATGCATAAAAGTTATTTATTCGATTAAATTTACTTTCAAGTTTTGTATTTTTTATTAAATGTTTGGTAATAAGAGCTATATTTTTTAAAACAAGAACTTCCGGTGAACCATTACCAGATGAACGGAAAATTTATCAAGTGAATGGTTTAAAAATACCATATATTTTTGTTTTATTATCAGAATTATACTTTCGTTACTATAAATGTAATTACTATACAGTACGGTAGTTTTACCAGATTTTTTTTCCACCATGCGCTTTTTTTGACAATTCATTTTAAAAGTAAAAAAAAATTAGATAGCAAATAATTTTTATTACTATCATTTCCGTTCCAATGTAACAATAATAAGCATGGCATTAAATAATGCGTTTTTTAAGTTGAAACTTTCAAATCCTATTTGCCTTTTAAAATCTTTGTATTAAAATTATTATCCAAATTTAAAACTTAATTCCGATTTGGTTCCCCAGTTTTAATTTTAAAATCAGAAGCTAAACATTTTTTAAAAAATTAGAAATATTTTAAGATATTTAAAAGTTAGATTCCCATATTTTATGTATTTATATTCTTCCACAAAAGTAAACTTTTAATGAATGAAGTATTCAATAAGCAAGAAAAGAAAAGTCTTTTGAATAATAGCTCCAGAATTCAACTCTAAGTAAATTAAAATAAGTACAGAAGTGTAAGAAAATTTATATAATTTTCAATGGGCTAGTGGAAGTAGTGGGCTATTATTGAAGACAGGAAAATGGAAATATCATTGAGTCATTTTGGACTTCAATATCATTAGGACTAAAGCTTTCCCCTTTGCTAATGAAGCTTCTTTTAGACCGGAATTTTAAGTATCAAACATTATGGATAAAAAATTTAAAAAACAAATACCTTTCTGCATGAGTTAATTAAATTACTAATGCTGATAACAAAGTTGCTTAAAAAATGAAATCTTTTAGGAGCAAGTAGCAGGTATGAGGCTTTAAGTAATAAGCATAATTTGTGTTATGATTTCTTATTTAAGTTAAAATAACTCCAAACATATTCAAGAAAAATTAATGTCAGCAAGTACAATGGCAAATACCCTTGTATTTATGGATAATGGATTAGATTTTGCGGTTACTTTCATATTATCTCATTTTCCTCACTTTTGCTCACTTATTTTGTGGTAACAAAAATAATAGCAACATTTTTATTTCTTTGATCAAAAATTCAACAGACTATCGGTATTGTTTAAGAATTCTACCAACACCCCAGATTGGAAAAGGAAAGGTGAGATATACCTGAAATATATTCGCTTGAGACAAAAACAATTGTCAGCATTTCATACGAAAATTATGTTTCAATATAAAACAGTTTGAAATATTGTTTTCTATTACTCGCGAGGATATTATTTTTAAAAAAAGGGAGCATCGAATATTTTAAACCATTTGATTTCCTCTTAAAATAAACACTTTCAAAAGTTGACTTTTCTAATCTTATTTTTAAAAAAATAGAAAGTAACTCATTTAAGTAGAAAGTAAAAAAGCTCTAAAAATCATCAAATTTTGCGACTACAATATCTATTCTACAATATTAATATGGACAAAACTAGTTCAACAAAGTGCTTTTTAATTTAGTTGCCTTTTTACTGCAATTTAATTTTCTCAATTACACTGTTAGAAATTTCTTAGAAAAATTGCTAAATAACAATTTATTTAATTGTTATTTTACCATATTCAAACTGAACAGTCAAATAGCTATAAATAAGATTATAATCAAACTGTTAACTGTGAGAAAAACCGTTTATTAACTGTTTTCCCCTAATACTTTAAAAAAACAGAATTTTATCACACCAATTAGGTTTACCTAATAAAGGCACTTAATTCCTTTCAGCTGGGTACATATTATAACAGAGATGAGTAATCTGTCTATCTCATCACTGACAGAACGGGGGTTCGAGTCCCAGGGTTAACATAATATTCCCTCCATTCCCTTCAGCACATGAAGAACTTCCAGTGCCACGAAGCCCTCAGTTTGTGACCCTGGACTATTAGAATACGATTCTCTCATTTACGCATAGATGGCAGAACCATAAAGCTTCTTAACACAAAAAAACTAGTATTTCCCATAGCTAACACAACTAGATAAACTAAATAAACCACAAACCCCAGTTCATTTGATAAAATACAACTCAGCCACAACCTAACTCAAATGCCCATCACCTACAGAAAAGCTTAGCTTTAATGTCCAGTTAAATTTCCTTTGTACGGTTTTGAAACTATGCTAGATGTAAATGGTTAAAAAACCGTATGTTTTTTTTAATTATTTTTCAACCATACTAGTTGTAAATGGTTTCAAAACCTTAAAGGTAAAAAATATTCTTTAACGTATTGAACGCACGAAAAATTTAAAATTATTTCGACTTTTTATGAAACTTAATGAAGTTCTCATTGAAGTAATTCTTTTACAGTCTTATCTCAAGTAATGTTAATTATTTGCAAGGATTTCTGATTTTTTTTTAATCATTTCATAAATAGGACTACGAATAAAATAATATGGTTATTTTTCTAAAAAATTAACTCCGTGAACTACAAAAGTCAAAAAATGTAATGAACAGAAGTCGAAAATTCAATCTAAGGCTACGTTTATTCAAATTTGCTCCGAAAATAAGGCATCTTTTTTAAGTTGTTTTTTTCTCTAAATTAAATAGTTAACATAAAAAAATAACAATGATTTTATTTCTATATAATACTATATGAATCAAAGACATATTACAGAATTGAAAAATTTATGAAACTTTAAGAGTAGAAAATATTTTTCAGGAATTAAATATTTTCACTGTTGCAAATTTCATTAAATAAATATTAAGACAAAAATAATTGATATAAACAAATTATTATGTGTTGTTAATTACTTTCAATAAAACAGTTTACTGTTTGTTTTAACTATATAGTTTGTACTATTTTTATGTACCTTTCTCAAAATGAAAGTAATAATTAGGTATGTTCTAATAATTAACTATTTGAGGTGAAACTATAATGATATATTATGCTTGTTTGCTTTTTAAATAAATTGTATGTATTTTTATATTAAAACAATTAATGTAAAACAAATACTATGTGTTGTTATTCATTTTTAAAAAATTATAGCACAAGTATATAATATATTCGATTTTAAAGCTAAATTCAAAAAAATAGCTTCTTTACTTTGCTTCTTACTTTTTATTATATATCAGAACAGTTATTTTTCCTTTGAAGTAAACTCCACAGATACATTAAACCAACACATTTTTTTAGAAAAATCTTGTTTTTAGACCGAAAGGTTATATAAATTACTAAAAAAATTCAGACAGTTAAGAATTAAGCTAGAAGTGAGTATTAATTACGATTATTTATTGACTGGAATTCTGGAGTATCTAAAAAAACCGAACACCTATTTTCTACTAAAACATTTGTTTTATTTTATATTCACTGGCAACTTAATTTATTGAGATTAATTTCATTTTCAAAGTTTTTATAACATATTTTTAAAAACATCCAAAAATATCCTTTGTTAACTTTTAACTTATTTAACAAATTTTATTTTATTTTTCTCATGATGTAGGACTATATTTTTAAAAATGAAGCTCCTTTAAATGAAACCTTTTCCAGAAAGTATTTAAATATAAAATTTCACATCTTCTATTATAGAATCTCCATTGTGCCGTGTCTTTAACAGGCATTTTATAATTAAAATGTAAAGGCATTCATAATCCTTAAATACCTTAAAACTAAACAAACTTCTCAACATACACCGATACATAATCTATTCATATACCCACTGCATGGCGTCGAATGCGGAACAAAAGATATTTTTCATAATTTTCCTTCTGATGAAATTTGAATAGATTTATTCGGTTATTTAAGAAAAAAGTAATTAGAGTTTTAAAAGGGAATCTTGAAATTAAATAAAATTACATCAAATTACAAACAGAAACAAAGATTCTTAACTATAGATTACTGAGACCCTAGGGATAAATAATTTCACTTGCTGAAATAAATTTGTTAATTTGAATAACAAGGTACTATCTTCTTTTTTTTTTCAAAAATATTAAATTTATAAATTAGAAAGGAAATAATATTTAGTCGTTTCTAATATCCATTATCACGCTAACTTTCTATATTATGTAAAAAGAGCTTTTTAAAGTGTGAATAAATTAATCTGCAGCTCAAATAAGTTATCAAATGCCAGTTTTATTTTAAAAACAATTACTTTTTATTTTTATTTAAAAATTAGGAATATATTCGTGTATGTATTCGTAAAATTAATATTTGAAGCTTGGCTTTATAGAAAAAGTAAATTATTTCCATATTACTTAATTATTACGTTTATTTCATTTTCTTAAAAATTTAAAATCAGGTACGTTTTCCTCATTTAGGGAATTTTTTTTCCGTATTTAGCATAGATATTATTTTTTTACATTTCAAAGTGCTTAATATATACTGCACGGAGAAAAAAAGTATCGTAAAATTACCGTGCTGTACGGTAATGACATTTCTAGTAAAAAAAAATTAAAACCAAAATAAACGGTATTTGACTCATTCGTTTCGTTATTTTCCCCATCTTATCGTAACAGTTTACCAAAAATTTTAATTCAAATTACACTTCTCACATTTAGAATAAATACAAAACTGAAAAATAGATCAACCATTTAAATGGTGTTTATGCCATGCTTTAAGGTATCATGATAAAATTACTAAATTTCACACTACTTACCAAAATTTATCGCATATTATGCAATCATATTTTATTGTTACTTTTACCAAAATCATTATCTAAGTGCTTCGATAAAAATTACGGAGATTTTCGGTGTTCCCATAGAACCAGGAACAATGGTCAATCTAACCATATTCAGATAATTTTGGCGATGCCTTTTATTCTCAGTGTAAAGTATGGTCAAACATATAAAAATTGACAAATACATATAGGTAAGAAGGCAACATTATACAGTTTTTCAGCCAAATTGTACCAGAATGCTATTTTTCCCAATTATTTGAAAAACACCTTATTTTGAAAGATATTTCCGGTATATAAAAAACAATAGAGCGTGTAAATTACGTTGAGTAAAAAAATCAGTTTACGATTTTAAGAAATAAAATACCTCTTTCTTCGAAAAATATATCTGATTTAAGTGCTAGAACTTACATTTATTTAGATAAGGAACCATAACACAAAATTTTATTTAAGAACATCCAACACCACTGCACATACAAAATTTGCAGCAACTAAACAAACAAGCTCTTTAAATCTGATTTTAAAGAAAAAATGTGAATAATTAAATGTATTGTAATTTTTCACATTAATCAAATATTTTAAGTTTTACACGTACTTTTTATTTATTTAATAATGTAAAAAATATTTTTATTGTTCGAAAGGTTCTTCTCAACACTTATATCTACAACAAACTACAAAGGTAAACGTAAAAGTACTTTCTTCAACGTAAAACTAAAATCTTTGTTAGCATGTTATTATTAATAAATCATCTGATATTTTTATCTGTATCAATAATATAGAATAGATTTTAAAATTTTTCAGTTTATGACAATATTTCTTAATATTTTAGTTTAAACCAACCCTGTTCCTCCAGTGTATGGGTTGTGCGAGGGGTTTATAACCCCTTCTTGTCAATCTTTTCTCTTTTTTCCTGAATCCCTAATTGTTAAAAACGGGCAGAAATTCAATCAACCTGTCAGGAAAATGGATATGATTATTTTTCCATTGAATATACTAACTATTTTCAAGAGTGGATCTTTGAGAAATCTAGTTAGCTTTATTGATGCATATAACATTGACGTACTAACATTGCAAGAAATTCGGTTGACTGGTCAAGTGCATCTTCGAAACTAAGAAGTGTCATGTTTATCATAGATGTCAAGATAAACAACATATATATGGTACAGGATTCATTGTGAAAAAAAGAGCTAAGAATTATGTCCTTAAATTCAAGTCTGTTAATGAAAGAATTTGTTAATTTTAGCTGAAAGGGAGACACTGTAATGCCAATTTAATTCGTGTTCGTACATTAACCGAAAACAAAGAAAACTCTTACAAGGAAATTTGTATGATTCCTTAAAAAATACTTATGAGAACTACCCACAAAGTGAAATAAAACTTCTGATTGGAGATTTCGATGCAAAAATTGGAAGTTACTATTTTATGAAGCCTAATGTTGGAGAACAAAGCTTACATCAAGTAACTAATGTATATAGAGAATTTTTGAAAAACTTTATCATTGCAAATAAATTACTGATTGATGGCCCAATATTCCTGCATAAGAATATTCATAAAGCAATGTGGAGGTTACCCGATGGAAAGACATGCAACCAAATACACCATATTTACGGAAATTGGACACCGAAGTAACTTACTGGATGGGTGATGCTACTGAGGAGCAAATGTGGAATCAAATCACTTTTTGCTTTTGTTAAAAATTAGATGTCTATTAAAGAAGTCATTCTATCGTAGAAAAGAAAAACCGCATAGGAAGTTGGCTGTTACTGAACTCCAAAATCCAGAAATTTTGAGCCTTTATGAGAGTAAATTTAGAACGAATTTACAAGCAGGTCCTACTGCTGGACAGGAGAGTAAAAATGACAGGAAAATACTCAAACAAATATAAATGACATTGCAAATGAAACCTTACCCAACGAGAAAAGGAACAAGAAAAAAGATTGATCCGATTTAGAGTACACCTTAGCTACAACCAAGAAAATAATACTTGCAAATTGATGATCAAGAAGTATAATATACGAGAAACTGAAAAAAAAATATAAAAACCTAAGAAGGCAGGATAAGCAATCACACAAAGAAAAGAAGTGACTTTTCCTTGAAGAACAGTATAAATAAATTAAACATCTCCAGTCACAAAAATAATGTAGAAAATATTATCAGCTGATTAATAAAGATAGAAGAAAATTTAACCCAAATATACTCGTTTACAAAAATAAAGGTAAGCTCTTGAATGATAATGCTTGAATTGCTGGAGGGAACATTTTAAAAATCTAAAGCATGGTAAAGGTATTTTAAACATGGACTACAGAACTGGGTTTTCCTCTTTACACTAGTCAAAAAGAGCAGGAGTTGGAAGCCCAAGCACTTTACGAGGTTGGATCAACAATTTACCGATATTGGTCTGCTGGCCTTGATGGGAATAACACCAAACTTTAAAAAGCTTATGAACCATAACTAAATAAAACCATCTTTATTATAGTATGAAGAGCTTAAACAACGGAGCAGATAATCATTGAAAGGGATGAGGGCTTGAGAAGGGTTATAAGCAAGATTGCTGCAACTATCACGAAATAAACCTTTTAAACTCTATCTTTAAATTTTTTTCAAACATTCTTCACTATAAACTATTACAGCATGTTGAACTATTACAGCAATATTATTAGGAGTTGTCAATGTGGATATCTTAGAATTCGGCCAGCTACTGATCAAATAAATTCTTTGGGACAGATACTGAAGAAAACAAAAGAATTCAGTATCTATACATACGATCTCTTAATCGATTTTAAAGCTGCGTATGACAGCATTATTTGACAGAAACCTTACAAAGCAATGGAACAGTTTGATATACCAGCTAAACTAATTAACCGGACAAGAACTACACTTTAGAGGGTAAAGTACAAAGTGAAACTAGGGGAAAGACTTTTCTGCCGTCTTCTATACAGATAGAGGATTGCGACAGAATGATGCTCTGTTGCGCCTACTGTTCAACTTGGCCCTAGAAAAAGTTATCAAATTGCCTAGTCTCACAGCCAAAGAAACCATCTACCAGAAAACTTTACAAACCTTGGAATTTTCAGATTACATCACCTTAGTTGATAGATCCAGAAAATTTGTCTAGAGGTATTCAATTTACTAGTTGCTGAGGCTGGTATATAAGGCCTACAAATAAACGAAGGAAGAAAAAAGTTCATACAGACTTTCCACGATACAAAATTCGATACATCCCACGATACAAAATTCGATACGATACTTCCCACGATAAACTTAACAGGTCGAGATAAACTACAGCAGGGATGGCGAACCAATGGCACGCGTGCCATTTATGGAACGCGACACAATATTTTGGGCACTCCACCGATCACAATTGTTATTGCACTATGAATTGTTATTGCACAAATGATATTACACTATGAAGCATATGTAACAATTAAATTAAAATTCCCAAAAACAAATAAAATAATAAACAATTATTAATAAAAAAAATAGCAATTAATGCTAAAAAACAATTAATAACCAAAAAAACAAGCTAACTATAAGGAACTAGCAAAAAAAATTAACAGTCCTGCTTAAACTAACATCTTACAACCTAATATAAGTCATTTGTCATCTAATCTGCAACAACAGAAGTCACACTGATGTTACTTTAAGTATATTTACGCGTATAACTGCGACATTGCAATTTTTTTTTTAAATGTAAATAAAGAGTTTTAAGTTGATAGTATTTAGTATTATTATTTTCCCAATAATCACGAAGTCAAAATTATTTGACGGCACGTCTGTGACCTCATTAAACAATTTTTTAGAAAAAATGGCACGTTGGTGTATAAAGGTTCGCTACCCCTGAACTACAGGCTCACCACATAAAATAAAGGCTATGTCCTCAAAAACCAACTAAAATCTAAATTTAGTCTATCATAAAAGCAAAAATTAGCATCTATATAACACTAAATCAACCTATTCTGCTTTAAGGGAAAAAATTCTGGCCATTAAACAAGTTACATGAACATAAATTATTGACCTTTGAACGGAAACTCTGAGGAAAAACATTTGGTACAGTCCATGAGAAAAATAGCTGGATGTCCAACTTAGAAATTTATCAAAAGCGCATTGATATATGAAACGATATTGATAAAGTCATAAAATGAGATTGACCTACAATAGCTTAGACATTTATTCTAATCTGTTAATACAAACACTGTAAGAAAGCTCACTTTTATTAATTTCATGGAAAATAGAAAACTATGAAGACCACCAATTAAGTAACTTGACTCAGTGGAGCAAAACGTTCATATAGTAAATAAGGGAAACTGGAAGGGCTTTGCTAGGGATAGAAACAGACGGCAAAGCCTTCTTGAGACGGCCACCAGCTGAAACAAGCTATAATGCTTTAAAAGTAGATTTTATTTATATATGAATTTTTGATGATTAATATGAATTTTGATATGATTTAATATGAATTTTTGTTAAGGAGAAATCAATTGTAACAGTGAAATGAACCCAATATACAGATAATTATTGTTTATTTCGAAATATATGTATCCTGAAGAGAATTTTTACGTTTTCCCTTTTTGCTTTATTTTATTTTCTAATTCTATTATTTTGCTTATATATATAAATA